CAGGAAAGGCTTCCCACAGTCTCTAGTTAATACCAGGCTACAAAAAAGGGAATCAGCAAGCCTAAAAACGACGAAGTGCTAGACCTGAAGTGGAAGGATAAGAGAGACATTTACATCCTGTCCACCATCCACAATGACACCTCGGTGGAAATTACTGGAAGACACGGTCCAATTCAAAAGCCTGCAGCCATCCAAGATTGTAATCTCTACATGGGGGTGGGGGTGGTTTTCAATGATCAGATGTTGCAGCCCTATTTAACAACAAGGTGGTCCCATTTCTGGTATAGGTATATATATATATATATATATATTAAAAAAAAAAAAGTTGTTGCGTATGTCACCTACACCAAATCCACAGAAAAACCCACTGCCTTCCTCAAATTTATAGAAGTTGTCACGTCCCTTATCTATCAGCAAGAATCCCCCTCAGATAGCATTAGTTCCAATTCTGTGAGCAGCCTTCATGAGCACCACTTCCCTGAGAGCATCCCAAAAGAAGCAGGTCGAAGACGCCAAAAAAGATGTTAGGTATGCAGCAGAGGAGGAGTTAGAAAAGACAAGTTTTCACTGTCTCCAGTGTCCTTCCCAACAAGGCCTGTGCATCAGAGATTGCTTCTGACATTTTTGCACATTACTAAAATATTTAGCCCATATTTCAAACAGCCTGCCAACTACCCACTTTCAAGATCGCTAGTGATCATTGCTGCCTCAACCAACCATCCCACTGCCTTCTACCTTAACTGACACTGGCCTGTTTATCGACTCTTTACCTACCATTTGCATTGTTTATCCACCACATTTCTGCCCTTCACCTGAAATGACCCTGGCCTGTTTATCAACTATGCTTCCGCCTACCATCTGGATTATCAACCACATTTATGCCTTTTTCCTGGATTGACCTCAGCCTGTTAATCAACCATGCTTTTTGCCTGCCGCTTGGATTGATCTTTTGCCCTGCTACTGTAGTAGCGGGATTCAAGATAACACAGGGGTCTTACATATGTGAAGGGCTTCAGAGTAGAGTTCAGAGTAAAGAAAAACAGTTTTTGGTTTTCTCCGGGTTTTGTAATCTCCATAAAGGGTCTGTTTGTCTGGAGGCTTTGAAGAGATTGGGTGGGACAAAGCCTCTACCCCTGGTCCTACTTGACCGAAGCCTGATATTCCTGCCTGCTGCCTGGACCAATGCTTTTGCTGCGCTGACCATATCTCTGCCTACTGCTTGTACTGACCCAAGACCTTTAATGGGCCATGTCCCTACCTGCTGCCTGGACAAATACCTTGGCTGTGCTGACTATATATCTTCCTACTGCCTGTAATGACCCAGGACATTTTATGGACCATGTTCCTGGCTGCTGCCTGGACAAATACCTTGGCTGTACTGACCATATTTCTGCCTGCTCCCTGTAATGACTCTGGACCCTTTTTTTTTTTTTTTTTAATGGACCATGTTCCTGCCTGCACCATACTTTGGCTGTACTGACCCAGGAGTTTTCATGGACCATGTTCGTACCTGGTGCCTGTACAGATCTAGACCAACGCTCTCCTCTTACCACAGGTAATCTTTTGTTTGCTATACAGTGTTTGTGCAACCCCTCCAAGTGTAACACACAAATCAACAATGTATTTTGGGGTGTAATTTTTGGTATGCATGTACTATATTGGAAATATAAAAGTGTATCTATAAAAAAAAAATTATAGATTTTCATTCCAAAAATGTAGGGGGGGGGGGGGGGGGGGAATACATGTTTGAAAGACTCATGCTTCACAGAATATACATTGGGGTGTTTGCTTTTCAAAATGGGGTCATTTTATGGGTAATTCCATTGTCCTGGTGTCCCAGGGCCTTCAAAAGTATAATATGTAGTCAGCAAATTAAATGTGTAATTTATAGCCCTAGGACACCTGCTGGTGCTCCTTAGATGTTGGGCCTCTCGATGTGGCTAGGTTGTGAAAAATCTCACCTGTGGTATCCCCATACGCAGGAGGCATAGCAGTATGCATTTTGAGCTGTAGGTGTAAGTATACATATGCTGTGTGGGAGAAATAAAACTTTTAAAAAGACAAACTTGTGTGGCACACAAAAAAAGTTTTAATAGAAATTGTGTGGTTTGTGGGGGTGGGGGGAAAGGAACTACTTTAAAAAAAAAAGTACTCACTATATCTCTGACTACATACTGTGGACTTTCCAAAAAAAGGGGTCATTTGAGAGGGTATTTGTACTGTTGTGGCATGTTAATGTCTCAAGAAATGATATAGGACATTAGTACAGCAGCAGGTGTGATCAGTTTTCAATGATTGGTACCATAACTTGTAGACTCTCACCCACCCCAAATAGACAGATTTAAGTTATTTTTAACCAAAGAAATGTAGCAGTATAATTTGTAGCCAAAAAAAACTTATTATTTAATTACAAAAATTTTACAACAGAAGCAAAGTAAAAAATTTTTTTACAGTGCAAGACAACCCAGTACAGATTAAATGCCACCAAAAGAAAGCTCTTTGTGTGGGCAAAAAACAAATTGCATATGGGTATAGTGTTGCATGACTGAGTAATTGTCAAAGTTTAACAGTACTGAAAGCTGAAAATTAGCCTGGGCAGGAAGGGGGTATAAGTGCCCAGTTTTTAAGTGAGCAAAGTCACCAACAATGACAGTGGCATTTCCACAAGGTATGCCAGGGAGATAAGTCAAAAATGAATGACAGCTAGTCCAGACAGCCAATTGATCACTGCAATTCTCACAGAACAGGCAAATACAAATATCAAGGGAGAGGTAGGTACACAGTGGATGTAAAAGAAAATGTTCCACTGGATCTAGGCAAGTCCAGTGGTTACCACCATGGGAAAGGCAGGCCTGATGCCAGGATTCAGTAAGAAGTAGGTTAAGGGAATGAAAGACAAGTCATGGACAGATGTGTGCTTGTCACAGAATTCTGTCACATGAGATGGGGGGTGGTTTTAGAAGCAAGGTAATTGACATTAAACCTGCTGTTTCCAGAGGAGGGAGGGTGCCATGTGGGTGGGGGCAGTAGTAAGACATTTGAGGGCCTGGATTAAAAAGGAGATATCCCCAGAAACTAGGAGAGAAAGGTTAAAGATGGGTAGATGTACACCTCACTGTCCTGGGGTTTAGGTTACCATATGGGTCAAGTGTTTAACCCCTTAGTGACTCAGGGCAATACAAAATGTTAACATCTGCAATATGTACAGTTTTGCTAAAACATGCCAAAGTTGCATTAAACTACTTGTTCATCCAGGTGGCTTATACCTAGTTTTCTTCTGAAGTAATTGTGCACTTTTGGTGGTAAATGGTAAGATCATGAGCCAGATTTTCCCTTTGATAATAAAAGTATGATGGCAAGAAATATACAGCTATGTCATAAAATGTGTGACTTATTACCATACTTTACCCACAAGAATAACCAGAGGTGTGTTTTGGGTAGGATTTTTTTTTTTTTTTTTTTTTTTTTTAAACCTTAAATATATTGACCCTTATTGACCCCAACACTAACCTAGATCAAACCTTGATCTAGCTTTTGTTTGCATCTTTCCTTGCAGGGGAGAAGGATGTAAGTGTTCTCTCCATTCAGAAGAAACATGGGTGGGCTGCAATGCAACTGAACACTAAAATCCAATCAATCAAAGACCATCAGGTGACCAGGGACCAAGAGTCCCATGGCTCTGAGCAGGCTGTGCAGTGTGTGGTCAGCACAACACAGGTACGCAGCCTCATGGATAAAAAGGCCCACTTCTGTGAGACTGCATATCTGTGTACTATTGGTGGGAAGGAGTTAAGAAGATGAGCAGTTATAGGGAGAGGATTTGGTTGATGCATACAAGCTTTGGGATGAAGAAAAGGGGCATGTTAAAAATTTGAGAACAAACAGAACACTAATGTAAGAAGTAAGAGTCAAGGGAGCATGTGAAAGGGTAAAAGGGAATAGGAATCACTTTGTAAGATGCTTTCCAAAATGTTTGCTTGCAGTCTGGAGTCACATCTTGCTGCTTTAGTTGATCTGCTGTGTTCAAATGCTCACTACTTGTTCCAAAAATTACCTGTCCAACTTGCCCAATAAGCAGATATAAAATTGTAGGGAGGAGGCAGGGACATGTTAAACGATCCAGTTAGGAACACTTCAAATATACCTTCTAAAGTTCAACCTGGTTAGTATTCCTCCAATTACTTTTGTTATGATGCAATATGGCCCCAACCAGTGTTAGATTTGAAAACTTCATACATTCCAGCTTTCAGGCTCTCCATCCCAAGCTGGACCAACATACATTGCTCTGTGCTGGTAGCCTACAATCAGACAGTATGCTATGTTTGTTAGGCCTGTGTAGCAGGAATATAAAAAAAAAAAAAACCCACACACCACACGAAATACACCGACCATAACCAGTTTATTTCTTTGAAGTGCCTTATTACAGTTGGTTTGAAAAAATGCATAACATTAACCCTCTATAGTACAGAACAAGCAGCATTTCAAGATGTTTACAGTGTACACATTGGTTCTATTGCACAATACTGCCACATTTCTCCAGTGTAGTGAACTGCTTGCTCATAAACGACTGCAAATAGAGGGGAAAAAAAGGGGGGACAACATTGTTGGCACTCTGCTGGATAGGGGAACTGAAGAGCTTACACAGCTATGAAAGTCCAAGAAAAAGGAAACATGAGCAGTAGGAGCCAGTGCATCAATAGTGCCAACTACATCCTTTTGGAAATTGTAAAACCTGAGGTTGTGCTACTTACAGGTTTTGTTTGTTCACTGGTTTAGGCAACAGTCCCTTTGCTACTCTAAAAATGGTAAAATGGCACAGTACTGGGTTTATAACAAAAAGATGCCTTTCCCCTCCCATTTCCCACTCACAAATGTGGAAATATCCACCAGCTGAAGTTTAGTAAAGCTCCTAGCAGTTTAGTAAACATTGTGGTAGACTGCTTCCAAAGCAGAACAGGTTGTGAAAAGTCCTTTGAGGTTTTGTGCAGGACAGTAGAATTCTATTGTAGATAGGAGTCTAGCTTCTTCTTGATGTTTTCATACGAATCTGCTCCCATGTAGTCAACCTGGCCCTGTTCCCATCTCTCTCTGCGTTCTTCTGAGGATATAGATGGTGGTTGAGGAGGTGGAGTTGCTATTGACAACTGTGACACTGCTTCTGTAACTTCCTCCTAAAAACAAAACCACCTTTTACTACAGGCTACTGAGCTATTACCTGATAAGAGGAAGAGGAAATGAGGAAACTAATGGATAGCCTCCATGCAAAAAAAGCAGGCAAAGCAGAACCGAACACAGAAGTAGCAAGACTGAGTAAACTAAAGAAAAAACCCAAGTAAAAAGAAAAAACTGCGATGGAATCTGCAGATTGTACAGAGTAATTTGACAACACTTTAAGTTCATACCTCTCTACAGAAGCGACAAGAGAAAGCCAGTGAACAGACCAAGCCCGACAGCTGTGAATAGTTATAGAAAGTTAAGCAAAAAGTGAAGAGGTTGAGGATTTGAGATACCCTATTAAGGAGGCCTGTGCTGCATGAAAAGGAAGAGTGCCCATGCAATACAATGCCCATCTATTCATTTAGAGAAATAAAATTCACATGCAACAGAAGCAGTATTGTACATAAATTCATTGTTGTAAGTCACCTATATCCAATTGTGAAAAGTCCAGGACAATCAAAGCACTGTGTGCGCCCCCCTCACAATTTTGGTGGCCCAGTTGCCATAGAAAGTGTAACCGTGAAACCTTATTGCTGACCCCTCCCTCGTGAAAGTACTAGTTTACTGGAAGCCATCCTAACCTGTCCAATACATTGAGACTCCTCCCAACCTGTTCTAGATCAAGTGCTTTACATCACCTTTCCATTTAGACACTTACCTGGCTGTCGAGCTCTTCCACTGTCAATTACTTGAATGACCAACACAGGGCAACTTTCTAAACAAAATTTGGCAGAGAGGTTTGTTTCCTATGACAGGTTTACATTAAGCAAAACTAATGAGTGAAATACAAGTGCTGACATTTGGAAGAAACCAATAGCTGACCTAAGACAACCTACAAATCCAAAAAGGAGATCTCATATGTTTCTGGTTGACGCCAGATGTACTAAAGGCATTGGGTCAGCCAGACAAAGGTCAGCTGTCATATTTCCTAAATGTCCTCATGATCCTAGTCACCAGTTAGAACATTCTACCATGTACCATGTCATTGTGGTCTCCCTGGTTATAGAAAAAATAAAAAATTTAAAGCCATAGTTAGGCAACACTGTCAGGCAGTTCCTGGTTAATTCCAATGCCAAGTTTGAGATGCTTTGGCAATTTTCATGTACATGTCTTTTTGGTTTGACGCCAGCACAAAAAAATAAAAAAAAAAATTTGGCAAAAAACTTTTGGCCACACTTGTGTCACAGAGCTAGTCCAGGCCCTGCAGGGATCCACCCAGATTACTGACTGGCAACCGGCTCTCAGCACACCGACTGCCTGATCCAGCCACTACTGGCCTCTTGCTTGCGCCACAGCCTGGCACAGTGAGCACTGGAGGGGCAGAGCACAGAGCTGGTGACCGACAGTCAGCAGCTCACTGAAGACAAATAAGATTTAAAGATCACTGATCCCCTCTGCTTCTAAGACTGAGAAACAAGTGAACAGATGCAGCATTGGAGATGCTACAGCCACATAGTATCCCACACTTTAAACTGGAACGGCATGATGCAGAGCTTAGTTTTTGGCTGACAGCAAATTTTGGAGAATTTATCAAAAACTGATCAGACTGCCACACAGCTGCTCCAGATTGTCCTATTTAAGCACACTGAAGAGAATGTAAACAAAATCAGGAATTCTCAGAACATGCTAGAGCGCAAAAGGATGTTCAAAAACAACTTTTAAAGCCTGTTACTATGTTGGTTTGTCCCCACTGCTCAGGGGCAATCATGGGACTCCTACACATCAGAATCAAGCCCTATGACACTGCAATTTGCATGGCCTGAACTGGTCATGACAGGCAGAAGCTGGCTTTAGTGCTGGTTTTTCTTTAACTTTAAAAACAGACTCAAATCCCTGTAGCCACAGCCTTGGAAAAAGCAGATATGGCACTCTGATTATAAGTAACAGTGTGCACTGCAGGCAAGACCAACCAAAAGAAAGTTCTGCCATTTTCATGGACCAGAGAGCATTAACATCTCACTAGATAGTTCTAGCCTCCCAAGGCACAAATCTTGACACTACTCTGCTTTGGGTCAGACCACATCATCCTGCCAAGGCTGGATTACTCTGTATATACACTATAGTGCCAAAGTACTGGGGCACTATTGCCAAAAGTTTTGGGATACCACTGTCACTGGATTCAAGTGTTCCAATCACCTCCATGGCCACAGGCGAGTTTAAAAAAAAAAAAAAAAAAAAAAAAAAAAAAAACCTAGGCATGCAGGCTGCTTATACAAACATTTGTGAAAGAATGGGTAGCTCTCAGCTCAGTGAAAAAGCGTGGTACAAGATAGGTTGCCACCTGTGCAATAAGTCCATCTGTGAAATTTCTTTACTACTAAATATTCCAGTCAACTGTTCACAGTACTATAACAAAGTGGAAACAACTGGGAACAGCAACTCAGCCATGAAGTGGTAGGCCATGTAAAATAACAGAGTGAGGTCAGCACATGCTGAAGTGCAGAAGAAGCCAACTGTCTACAGAGCCTAACTAAAAAAATCTCCAAACTGTGTGGCCTTCAGATTACCACAACAGCGTGTAGAGAGCTTCATGGAATGGGTTTCCATGACAGAGCAGCTATATCCAAGCCTTACATCACAAAGTGCAATGCAAAGCATCAGATGCAGTAGTTTAAACACCGCCACTGGACTCTAGAGCAGTGGAGACATGTTCTCTGGAGTGGCAATTCATGCTCCTCTGGCAATCTGATGGACGTGTCTGGACTTTGCAGTCAGGCAAGTACCGTTCTTGCAACTGCATTGTGCAAGTGTAAAGTTTGGTGGAGGGGGGATTAGGATGTGGGGATGTTTTGCAGGGGTTGGGCTTGGTCCCTTAGTTCCAGTGAAGGGAACTCTTAAGGGGTCAGCAAACCAAGACATTTGACAACTGCACGCTCACAATTTGTGGATGACCCTTTCCTGTTTCTAGAGGACTACGCACCAGTGCACAAAGCAAGATCCATTTAAAAAAAAAAAAAAAAAAAAAAAAAAGGCGCATGGATGAGCAAGTTTGTGCAGGCCAGTCAAGTTCCTCCCACACCAGAGTCCTGACCTCAACCCGATAGAACTCCTTTGGGATGAATTAGAAGATACTGAGCCAGGCCTTCTCAGTCAATATCAGTGCCTGACCTCACAAATGCGCTTCTGGAAGAATGGTCAAACATACCCAGACACGCCTAAACCTAGGACATACTTTGCAACTATAACAGCTTCTACTCTTCTGGAAAGGGTGGGCCAACTCAATATTGAACCCAACGGACCAAGACTGGTATGCCAATAAAGTTAATGTGTGCGTAAAAGGCAGGCGCCCAATACTTTTGACAATATAGTGTACAGTGGATATAAAAAAAAAAAAAAAAAAAAAAGTCTGCACACCCCTGTTAAAAAAAAAAAAAAAAAAAAGTCAAATTTCAGGTTTGTGATTTTAAAAAATGAAATCATTTCAGAAGTTTCCAACTTTAATGTAACCTATAAACTGTACAACTCAGAACAAAAAGTTTAGGTGGAAGTAAAAAAAAAAAAATATATAAAATATGGTTGCACAAGTGTGCACACCCTTAAATACGTGAAGTACTTTTTTTTTTTTTGTTCTAGTACTCAAATAGTCTGAGTATTAGTATGGCACATCTTGGCAATATTTGCCCACTCTTCCTTACACTCGCAATGACATATTTGGAGTGTTTTTGCACCTCCTGTGCACAGCCCTCTTCAGATCATCCCACAGATTCGCGATTAGATTCAGGTCTGGGCCATTCTAAAAAAATGTTAATCTTCTGGTGAAGCCATTTTGTTGATTTGGATGTATGCTTTGGGTTGTTGTCATGCTGAAAGATGAAGTTACTCTAATGTTCAGCTTGCTAGCAGAAGCCTGAAGGTTTTGTGCCAATATTGACAGGTATTTGTCAAGGTAGAGGGAATTATGAACAGTTCCAAAGGCCCCAGTTCCCGGTTTAGAAAAACCGCCCCAAAGCATGCTACCACCATGCTTCACTGTGGGTATGGCGTTTTGCACCAAACATATCTTTTGGAATTAACCAAGGTTGAACCTTTTGGCCATAACATTTTCCCCACATCCTGAGAGACTTCAGATGTCTTTGCAAATTTTAGCCAGGCTTGGATATTTTTCTTCACAAGAAAAGGCTTCCATCTTACCACTCTCCCCCATAGCCCAGGACATATGAAGAATACGGGAGATTGTTGTCACATGTACCACACAGCCAGTACTTGCCAGATATTCCTACAGCTCTTTTAATGTTGCTGTAGGCCTTTTGGCAGCCTCCCAGACCAGTTTTCTTCTAGTGTTTATCAATTGGAGGGTTCTTGATAATGTCACTGTTGCACTATATTTTCTCCACTTGATTACTACCATCTTCACTGTGTTCCATGGTACATCTAATACCTTGGAAATTATTTTGTACCCTTCTTCTGACTGATACCTTTTAACAAGATCCCTCTGTGGACCATGGCCTTTGCTATAGGATGCGACTAAGAAAAATGTCAGGAAAGACCTACTAGAACAGCTGAGCTTTATTTGGGGTTAATCAGAGGCACTTTAAAAATGGAAAGTGTATACTGACTCCTATTTAACATGATTTTGAATACCATTGCTAAATTCTGAAAACTACATCCCCAATTATAAGAGGGTGTGCACATTATGCAACTGGATTAGTTTAGGTTTACTTCCCCCCCCCCCCCCCCCCAAAAGATTTGTTTGTTTTTGAATTGAGTTGTACAGTTTATAGGTCAAATTAAAAGAAAAAAAGTGTAAACATTTCTGAAATGATTTATCTTAATCACATTTTAAATCACAGAAACCTGACATTTTAATAGGGGTCTTTAAACTTTATATCCACTGTCTACAATGAAACCACACAAATGACATTACCTGTATAACAAGCAACATTGTTGGTGTACAAGGTAGTGGCAGATCAGCTGCTGGCAGTCATGCATGTACATTTCAAGCTAGGCCTGCTCGAATGTAAAAATGTGCATTATTGACCATCACAACCAGTATATGCAGTGAATTCAGTAAACCATGTGCCCAGGTTTGGCAAGTTTACATTTAGTAAAACTGTACTGTGCTTTGTCCAGCAAATGGAATATAGTAAGCTCACTTCAAGTGAAACCTCCATTTTAAAATCAGTCAGAATACCAAAAGCAACAAGTGGAAACCTTGGCTTCCCTGCAGAAGGGGAAACCCATTCCCCTCTGGCCTATTGGTCATAGTTTGTCTGCCCTCACCACATTAAAGAACTCACAGGAGACTTCATAGAGTCAGAGTTAGCTTGAATATTACAGAACCTCAGCTGCCTTCAGTAAAAACAGTCAATGACCTGTAGATCCTGTCATCCAGGTATACTGAATATTTTCAGTACAGGTTCAGTTTTACTTTAACAAGCAAGTTTTTTACCCTCATTAAGTGTGCTGGCCTAGTCTTGCCCAACATTAAAATTTGGCAGGAAGGGTTAGAGGGGGTGGGAGGGAGAAAAAGGAAACAGACATTGCCTGGAGTCAGATTTTAGAACAATTTTATAAAACCCATTTACCTTCAAGCATTCTGTGTATTAAGGTCCCATACCCAGCAGTCACTTGCTTGTCAAGACCACTTCAGTCATGTTTTGCATTGAGCTGGAAGTGCATTTTTACCCAATGCAATCCAACCACACAAGGTAAAATGCCTTGCCTCCCATCTGGCTTGTTGTCACCACCATGTAGTGGTGTATGCCAAGGTACTGAATGCACTCTGCAATGAGGCAATCTACTGCCTTGCATCATGCAGTGGCCAATGGAACTTAACTGTGACATTTCACTTTTAACCAAACATTGATGTACTGCAGTTGGTGCATCTGCACTACTGTCATCCCACCACGCCAGTTGTTGCTGCCTCCTATTGCAGCCACTGGTGAGACTGTACCCCAAGCGTCATGTTACTTTAGATTTTTTCCACATTTATGAATGTATTTGTGGCTGTTGGCAAATTCATAATTCTGATCTCTGAAGTGACAATTGTGACCGACAACTGTACTTCAGCTTTACATAGTCATGTGAATGGCTTTACCTTTAAACCCAGTCATACAGTATAATCAGTGGGGGAAAAAAAAAAAAAAAAAAAAAAAGTATTCAAAGCCATTCATACTCTGAGGCTGATGTCAAATCAGGCAGCACTGGAACAGTGCTGCCTGCTTCTATATACAGTTGCAGAGATCAAGATTTCAAGGTTTGCTTACCAGCCCCCCCCAATCTGCAATTTCTGCAGCCAGTGTGGGGAGGTGGTAGGGAAGGGAAAAAAAAAAAAATGGGAGGGGGATCAGGCTGGTACAGTCCTGAGCTGTTAGAGCACCTGTATGCAGAAGCCTGCAGCTGTGTTTACAGGATACAAGAACACTGCACTGGTGAGAGGAGCCCAAGGGAGAGTGCTCACAGCCCCATCCCTCCACTGTCTTTCATTCTCGGCTCTTCTAGACACCTCTGTGCTTGGCAGTGCATGTTGTGTTCTCTCCCACGCTTCCTTCCCACTAGTGCAGCTGTATTCTCATGAACACCACTCCCGGCTTGTTAATATAGAAGTGCTGCACTGGCAGGAAAGAGGGAGAGAAAACAGCATGCACTGCCTCCTGGCTTTCTACTCCTAGCCTTGGGCTGACATGAGTAGCAATATCACAGTCAGCCAGTCCCCTTCACTTTCCTCAGATGTCTGTCCTCAGACCCGAGAGGACTCAGGTTCTGGATGATCACACAACTTCAGCTTAAAAGGTAGTGGAAAACAGGAGATGTAGAAATGTTCTTACCCAGGAATTGGAGTTTAAACTTTGGCTGCAAAAGTAGAAATAAAACTAAAGAAACCCCCCACCCTTATGTGTTTTCATATATGCATGCATAAAATAATATTTTTTTGTCTAGGTTTTTCTAAAGCAGGTGTATACTGTACAAAGTATAAGCAACTTTTATGGCGTTGTAGATGGAGGGCATGCAGATAAGGGAAAGGCTTGAGGGGCAGTTTTAAGTACATTAACATACAGTACCTCCCAGGTATTCAGGATCTTAACCATTTGTTAGTTTACAAGAGCTGCCAGCACAGTATAGACAGTATTTATGGCAGACATGCCTCCCCAGCCCCCTCCTTAACATTACATATGAATTTGAGTTTGAGTTTGATTAAAAAACGCAAGTTTGTTATGTGAATGAGAACATGTACAAAATTAGGTTATCCAAATGTAGCTACAAAAGTGGAAGTACGCTTTAAAAACAAAGTGAGCATGTGATTAAAAACCAATATGGAAATGTATCAAAACTGGAGCAGCTGTGCACAGCAACCAACTTCTACCTTAATTTTCAAAGTTTCAATGAAGCAGCTGAAGGCTGAAGTTGAATGGTTTACATACACTGTACAGCTTCTGGGAGGGGAAAAAAATTAGTACCCAAAATCTGTAGCAACTGTGCGATTCATTTTGACAACACCAATTGCATGTCTGAATTCAGCTCTCATCATGGCTTTCCAACTACCCCATATAATTGAGAGCCTTTGGTAGTGAAAAGCAACGTATAATGTTATAGTTTCACCTGTCTTCCCAACTTAGCAACTCCATTCCTGAGAAAGTGTTGCCCTCCCATACAAAACCTTGCGCCGGCTGGTTAAAGTTGTGAAAACATATGGTACACTTGTGCCAGTGAGCATAGAGTTCTAGAAGCCAAAACATCCCACAAAAATAGGATCAGGGTTAAATAGATACAACTGTAAACTCAAACTTGCCATTTGTATCTTTATAAACCTGTTATACTTTCCAAATTACTCACTAATCCCCAGTTTATAGTTTACAGATAATACTAGAATGTAACCCAATGGCAAACCTACCGCTTTTAAGCCAATTGACACATCTTTGACCACACCATGTTCTGTAAGGAGGGGTAAGATTCTTGACGTGTACATGTCCCACCAAAGCTGTAGAAATTCTGGGTGAATGAGTGTTTGGTCATGTGCATCACCTTTCACAGTCTTTGTTTTACTGTCATAGGTATAGTTCCAAGGCTTCACTTTACCCAGGAAATGCACTACCTTGGCATTTGCTCCAAATCTAAAAAAGAAAATAAGGTGCGTGTCAGAAGCAGACAAGTGCAACACTTCTATTACAACACTAAGCATGTGGCCAGGTATCCAAAAAAAAAAAAACCCCCCACACACCACACACTTTTGGCAAGTTTTACAGTTTTATTTTTTAACTGACATGTTCAACTCACAAGCTCTGTGCTGTGGTACTTCAGAGCAGCCCTGATCCTCTTCTCAGGTCCCCAGCCAGCGATGTCTGCTCCTCTGTCCCTATAGCAAGCCACTTGCTATGAAGTCACAGTGTCTTCTCAGCTGTGTATTACACACAGTGGGACTTTGCCCCGTCCCCACTCCCTCATTACATTTCAAGTGCTCAGAAAAAAGGGAGAATAAATGCAACTGCACAGCGCTGGATCTACACTCCTCTACCCCTTCACACAGGGAATGGGGTAGTGGTGGTGCAGAGCAATAGAAAATTTGACAGCAGACAGCATGTAAACATTCCCATCAGTTTGGCCCTGTGCTGATCACATGATGTAAAATCAGCGTTGTCCAAAGAAAAAACTACTAGCAATACACACCAAAATGAGCATGTGCAGATTGCCTCCTAGGGCTCTGATATGCCCCTTCCACAGTCCCCAATCCATCTGATAGTACAGACAAATGGGATCAAACAGCCTTTTTACACAGTGTGGATGATTAGCCCCTTAGTTTCCACAGCGAGTAAAACAAGCATGCTTTACTGCATATACAGAGATTTTACTGTTGTGGGTTTAGTAACACCAAGGTAGCTTTTAAACTAAATGGCAATGCAAATGACTTGGAAAAGACAAAAAACTGGTTCATTGCCATCTGTCCACTGGAAAGTAATAGCCTATTATATATGCAATCCACACCCACAGCAGTGCTGTATTTTATATTGTGTTACCAGTGCCACGGAAGAGATGAAGGTTTAACTTTTTGGAAAGCCTGATAAAGTCTCATTAGGAAGCTAACAAAAATAATAACTCAACTAAAACCACTGCAGAGATTAAAATGCACCATCTGATATATTCTTGTAACTTGGGCAGGAAAAAGTCATAACATCCCCATAACTTCTTAAAATGCTGACTGTACATGATTCAGAATGTTTAGCACAGATTGCACATTCATGCGAGAAGTCTTCCCTCCACCCAAACTTGGATTGTGTCCCAGTTAGACATGTAGAAGCGCTAGCCGTTGCCAGCGTCCCAGTACAACATAAAGTGCCCATTCATGACTAGTTACAGGCACATTCCACAAACAAGGTTTGTCAGTATACAGAAGCTCTGAAAAGGTAAGATTGCAGACAGCTATAGCACACCAAATATTGGATACAACAGGTTTATGCTCCTAGAGTAGGCAAGAGTCAGATTCATCCATTATAGGTAAAAGGTACTAAATATGGTTCAGAGAAATTTGACTCCTAGTGATGAAAGCATTGGTCACTATACCTATACGTTTTTCATCATGTCAAAAAGCCATGCAGCACAGAGTAAATGGATATCTCCCCATGTTTTTATTCATAAAAACACCTTGCATGTACAGAAAAACACTCTGCCAAAAATGCACACTGCACCCAAGTCTTGCTTTGGGCTGATAAAATGGGGTGCAGGGAATACAAGCCTTTAAAAGAAGCTACCACCAGAAAATTCAAAGTGGAACGTGACCTATAACTTGGTGTTCTTTAACAAGGAACATGCATTCCACAATGCTACCAAAACTAGTGTGCTGTAAACTGCCTCCAGCATTGTTCCCATTTCTTCTTGCTGGAGGCTGCCATTTTGCTGAAGCCCTGAGCAGCATTAAATCTTTAGGCTGTCAACAGATTGGCTTCTACAAATTCAGCACAATACTGTCTAGCCCTGCACATGCTCATTTATCTATTTAGAAGCTGCATTTTAAAACCGTATAGGCACCAATTGTATGTTTTTACCTAACTACCTGCAAAAGGGGCCAGCATGAAGTAATCTAGCAGAACTTAATTTTCTGACAAGTTCTACTAAACAACCTGCAACTTCAGGCCAGCATCTGCACCAGTTTCTGATCACCATCGACCTTGACAAAACCAGGTAGTTCCAACTAAGGCCACTAAATTGGTTGCTGCCACAATGACAGGTTTTTAAGTTACTGTCAGTTTGTATGCCAAACTCAAAGCTGGTCTTACTCTACAGAGCTACACCATTCCTCAGAAAAAGGCATGTCTGATCTGAATATGGCCAGGGATATAGTAGCCCTGTGAGGGAAGCTGTAACATTCATGACTGCTTCCCAGCAGTAAACCAGGAGATTCCCTGACCAAGAAGGCAAAATGGACACACGGCATTGCCCGTAGTTGAGAAATTGTCACTAGTTGAATGGAGCCTGACAGGGGAACAGGCTAGTTCCCAGTCATATATGCTTGCCTGTTGATCAAACAAGGCAGTCAGCAAATTCAAAAGCCACTATTGGTTGAGGTGTCTTGTGGGTGACCTAATGGGGAACTAGTCTGTCACCCCACCAGGATCCACTGAGCCTTACAAAAAACACTGCCTAGACATAATTACACCAACGTATGCATAGTGTCTCAAAGTACGTACAATGTAACCATGCAAGCTGAGCATATCTGTGCTGTGATCTTGTTAAAGAAAGGTGCTTTAAAAAAAAAAAAAAAAAAAAAAAAAAAAAAAAAAAACACACACACACACAAACACAAAAACACCCCCACACTGCTCCCTACCGGTGATACCCCTCATTCACCAACTTGTATGGACCTACATTAGAGTAATGCGCTTAGTGGGAAAAACCTGGTATGGCTGGTGCCATAAGGGCATATCTTCGGTGTGGATATGCCCATAATTGTGGAGATTAAGGTGTACAGCGGTCATAAATTAAAGACACTCATGGGGAATAAAGAGTGGTCACATAGCATAATTATGCTATGTGGCCATGGACTGGAAAAGTCACCATGGCTCTTGTCAGCTGACAAGATTAACCCCTCCCACTGGACGTCCTCAGGGGTGACATTTCCGGTCCGTGGAATGCACGCTGGTGCGCAGCCTCCGGATTGTCAATTTTTATGCCAGGCATCTCTTAATATGAGTGCAATATTTGTTTATCTGGAAATTTTACATAAAATGGAATTCTGCTATGTGGTCACTATCTTTTCCCCATGAGTGCCTAAATTTAGGTTTGCTGTACACAATATAACTTATTCTACACTCCCTCCTCCACTTTATCAATGGAGGGAGCCACTGTTGTCTGCATAGGGATATGCAGAGTATACATAAGATTGTGTTAAGCTTCAAGGTAATCCTATAGAAGTGGAAGCATTGCAATTCTGGCACACAGGTATTTTTTGTAGTTGAAAAGGGAGCAAAAAACCTCATATACCCCATGCAGTAATGGCTGACCAACACCTGGAGGTTATCCTTTACAAAATGAATTAGGCAATAGCTTTGCCTGACCTAGTGGATTGTTATAGATATTATATGGGCAGCTTTACACTTTGCAATACATAGCTAGCTACTGTACTGGTCTATTAAATGCATGCATAGTATTTTTAGCTTGCCTGGGAAAGCCTGAACTAAAGGGAACTTGATTAGAAGCCAGTTTAGTTGTGCTTATGTTAGCAGTTGAAGTAAGCTCTAGTAACTCGATGTTGCAGTGAGTGGGAAAGGAATTTTCATGTGACCTGCTTCTCATGGCTGATACAGTTACAAAAGTCTGACAGGCAAATAAAACACTAGTTAACACTACTGTTCATGCAGTGGCTGGCAGTCACCATTTCACAGCCGTAATGAAAAAACTATGGCCTTAAGTACACCAACTTTCTTTCATCATTCAGATGAAACCTCCAGTTTGGTTTTGTTACGAGTGGTACTACTGCCAAATTATCCCTTTAAATACAGAATACACATTCTTTGCTTATAGGCAAATCATTTCCAGAGTTTAGAACTTCAGTTATTAAACGGTCACCTAAACACAAGTTAAAAAAATATTCATGTATAGTTTATATTCTAAAAATTTGTAGACCCAACATTTCAAATATATGCCCGCTATACCATGTACTTCTGAAAAAAGTATCCCGTTTTGTATTTCTTCCATTGTGTAAAATCCCTGGTGTTTCTGCCAGTCCCTCTGCTGTAATAAAAAAGGGACCACATTAAAGCATGGGAACACATAGGCAGTTCTGTAGCATGCTGGGAACAGTCTACTCTTCTCCAATGATCAGACCACACACTTCACTAGGAGGATTAGTGTGCTGCTGTTTTTCCCTTCCCCAGCTTTTAACCCTGTTCTTAGCTGCATATGTGATACAAAACAAAAAAAAAAAAAAAAAAAAAAAAACCACACTATACACAAGTTTTGCCTTGCCTTTAATTCCCATTTTATATTGAATAGGTTGTTTTATAAGGGGCGGGTTTACAACCAAAAGCACCTTTTATTGCTCTCAGCTTTTCAAATCTCCAAATTCCACTTTCCGGTGCTGTAAATTCAACTCGTTAAAGGGAGACTATCTTCACTCCCCATGGTCCTGTTGTATGTAGTATTGTATCCACCCTCTTGCTCTCGCCAGGGATGGACTAGGGTCTTTAGACTATGGAAGGTGTAGGTCGTCATGCACACTGCTCTAGGCACAAAATGCACTGTTGCTACCAAACGAAAGTGAGGGGGAACTGCTGTTCAGGAGTCCACAAAAGGATGTTACAAGGAGGCGTAGAAGAATGTGGTCACCTTTTAACTTGTTTCCCAACCGTGCTATAGCTAAAAAGACTGCTACAAAGCGGTTGTCCAGTTACGGAGGGCTTCCATGGACGTCCCCCCAGAATGCACCCCCAGCGGTGTGCACCCAGCACTTTAGTTATCACTGTTATATAGACACAATTTATCACATAATTGGAGTTAAAATGCCAACCACAGCAGCCTTTTACCATGTGATCAGCTGTGTCCAATGACAGCAGATTGCAATATAAAAACAGTTGCCGATAACTGGCAAAGGTGACGGGAGATCTGCACTAATAATCAGGGCCCAGATTGTCAGCGTCACCCCCACCGCAATCAGTGCCACCTGTCAGTGCAGGAGAAAAAAAAATTACTAGACACTAGACAAAAAAAAAAAAAAAAAAAAAAGCTTTTCAAATTTTTTGCCCTCTTTCATTTACAGTGCAAAAAAATGCTCAGTGGTGATTAATCACTGGTGAACATAAACTTGTTACAGCTGCAAGAGATTACATTTTTGTACACACATTAACTTACTGGTGGGAAAAGTGTTTTGATTTGCACCATTTTTAGTGGAGCCATATGCAAAGTGAAGATTTTGCCATGTTATATGGAATTTTAATTTACGATACGCCAGGTAAATCTTCAATACTTAAAGACCGCTGCACACTTCCATTAGACAAGTGTGCCTACAGTGTCATGGCTGTATCTACAGTGCAAGACCTATGCCACTGCTGCTGACTGCTAAGCTCAAAATCTGAAGTGAGATTTGGTGATGCCACTGTTCTTGGAGGATCTGACTAGAGGAAATAAAAGCATTGCCTCTACAAGATTTGTGCTACATTGCTTCCACACAGGATTTGTGTGACAAGTCAGTAATGGGAAAAGCGCCAGTAACCAGGAGGTCTGAGAACTCATTTGCTGCAATTGCCTTTTTAATACTACTTTTACCAGATTAAATAAGCAAGAGTTTTTTTTCTTCTTTTCTCTTTAGTTTTGATAGTGGAGGGATTAGAACGCCTTGCCAGGTTTTCCTTGTGGTCTGTACCCACCTTTTGTCCCATTGGCCACTAACTTGTAAAAAAAATCAGTCTCACCAGAATATGAAATGGACACCATGAACCTGGTGTCAGCCAGGGACTTCCTCATGTCTGGTTTTGGCTATGAGACAGGAAGTGAAGGGAAATCTCCCCAATGGGACAAACGTTTTCACTTTAGTCCTAGTTTAACTATGCTCAAAACTATTTACAGGGCTCTTGGCAGGACACTGCATTGCAGTTCTGAAAATAGTTGCCTGGTAGTCATGGCGTCCTCTTGATATCATACCCTGCATCACTGACATGGGACAAGTACCCATATAAGGAATTTTAATCACCGAGCTAGAAAAAGTATGTCAAGGCATCAATGTGGTGAAGCAAGATGCCAAATGATCTACATAACTTCCAACTAGCATTTTCAGAAGGGGTGTTCAGATAGATGCCTTAAATTCCTCTTTATGGGTTTACTTAAGTTTCCAGAGTACCAAGCTCCAATAGTGCAAGTTTTCCTAAACCTCCAGGCAGAACTCAAAAAAGGAGCAAACAATACCATAGGTTTTAAAAACACTGGCTTTAAATATATACATCAGGTTTAAGAATGTACTTACGCTTTAAATGCTGGCAGATAGGAGTATATAGAGACACTGCTTAAGTTGTATAGAAAAGGTAGATGCTTTTGTATATCTTTTGTTGCCCATGTGTTGAAGAAGGTGTTCAACAAACCCTGGTCCCCCACCTAAAGGAGAAAACAAAAAATAATCAGGTCTATAGTGCAACAGTCCCTTTTTTGTGCAAGTACCCTTTAAGTTCTCTGGAAAGGTTTTAGTGATATCGGTGATCACCAATTTCAAGCACAGTGGTCAAATACTGAGAATTGACCATGTACCATCGATATAAACTGCCATGTGTCGACACCAATAGTTTACAGTAAAGCATGTATACTTCAATGCATATAAAAAAAGCCACAAGGAGGGATGCACAAGTTATTACTGGCTGTGACCCCACTGGGGAGATCCACCCTCATTTCCTGCCAACTGTGATCATCAAGAAACAAGAGGGAAAACATTTCAGCATGCTCAACAAGGTGGGTGAAATCTTCCAATGGGAAGTTTTGGAACACTCAAGAGATTTGGGCACTTGAATTTTTTTTTTTTTTACTTTTTGTCCAGAGAGAAGTAAAAAAAAAAAAAAACTCTTTAGTCTTGGAGTTGGAGTTGAAGACAGACTAGATTTTCTATACCGTGGCCAAGCCTTTGGACAGACCCCCCCCCCCCTTGGAGTCTACTCCTATAACCCTATCCCCACTGATCTCGTTTCTTAGCAAGCAATACAGAACAGAGGGGAGAGTGGCCTGTATCCTGCGCTGTACTCCAAGATAGTTTGCCAGCAAGTCAAAAGGATCTTAAAAAAAAAAAAAAAAAAAAAAAACACTAAGTTGAGGGGGAACCAACCACACACAAAGCCACAAACATACATATTAACCTCTATGCTGCAGCATCAGCTTTATGCAGCAGCTGTCCCACACTGGCTCAAAGATTGAGATCTGAGCGATCGCAGACTGATCACTCAGGTTCTCAGTAGTCTGAGGAAAAAGCAGCGACTTGTCACTCACTGCTCTTTGCTCTGCCCCTTCAGCACTCACTGGAGCATCCTAGTACCCCAAAAGTGACATGACCAAAAATCTTTGGCCATACAACTTCCAAAAGGACACCGGCTGAATAATCAGACCCTGGGATGTTCCAAGCAATGATTCAGAATGGTGGGCAACAAGGCAAACCAAACTGCCAAGGAGCCCATAAAAACAGAAACTGATCAAGGAACCAACTTGGAGTGTAAGTAAAAGGCCCTTGTGGCCAAAAGCCACATTCACAGGAGGTCTTAACATCTACCTGGTAGAACCTTCAGAATGTATTAAGACCCAGTGGCAACCTTACAACGCTGAGCAGACTTCTGTCAGAATGTCCCAGAAACCCACTCCAATCTGATGAGGTGAGAATGTTAAGGGTACTGAAGGTAACTAATGCATTAGAATTCTTATATGTGTTGTCCAATCCAACTGGCAATGTCAGACTTTGAAGCAGGGTTTTTTTTTTTTTGTTTTTTTAGTGACTGTTGGCAGGACAGTTTCTCAGAGGACGTGGTTTCATAGCACTGACCATGTCAGATGTCAAACAAAGGGCAGTCTCCTTGGGATGAAAGAGCGAGCGAAACTCCCTCTAACCTGCTCCTAAAATTTTGTTACTACAGATCGTAAAAATAGTGCCTATGTACTCTCCAGGTACAGTAGCAGATTTATCTTGAAGTGACCCTTACCTTTATTAATCTGGGAACAAGAATCAAATCTACCCTGTCCTTTAACAGCATGACTGAAGCTCAGGCCTGAAGCCAGCAACTGGAGGACAGTAAAAGGAGTCTGACACCACAGGTCTGGTCTGTTTGGAGAGGCCAGGAGTAGTCTTCTAGAAGTTTGATTATTGTTTCAGGTTCTTCTGGATCAGTTTGGGGCAATGAGATTCAGTTTTCTCCTTTTTTTGCAGCAAATGAGGACCACAAACAGGGAAACCATGAGCCTGGAGGAGATTGAGAATGTCAGGATGAAGGAACCACACATTCCCCTTGGTCCAAGCAGTGACAACCATGAGGAAAATCTGCCTCCAATTGCCCACTCCCTGTATGAGCAGCAGAGATCGCAGGACAGTGCTTTTCCATCCAGGAAAGCATCAACAATGCTCCCTCATGGCTGTCAGACTCCTGGTTCCCCAAACGATTTAGCCCACTGCTGTGGCATTGTCCGATTGCACCGTGATTGGGTGACCCTGGTCCAGTGGTGTAGGGCAAATTTTATTGCTCTGAGCTACAAGACATCAGGCAGTGCTCGGCTTTCCTGGGTGACCAGGTTCCCACAGACTGAACCACTCCTCCCCAACTTTGAGTGGCATCGGTTATCACCGAGTGGGAGAAAATTTTGCTTTGAGAGAACCATGAAGGGGTTGCGTTTCAAACTATCTTGTTCCCTTTTGGAACCAACAGGTCTGGGACTTCTGGGACAGACACCTCACTTAAGAGTGAGGGTGCCAATTCATTGTGAAGAGGGTTTAGTAGCAGACTTTTGTTCCAAGTACTGTGGCACAACAGTCTGACTTTTGTTTTGAAGATGAAGCATGAGGCGACTTGTGTAGCACCACAGGCAGACAAGTGCGTCCGGAGTATACACAGCAATCTCAGCTATTAAAACAGCAAGAGGAAGTTCCTGAGTAACCAAGTGAATAAAATTCCCAGTTCATTGTTTCACTATTTGACACCAAGTGTACTCCAATCACTGGTGGATTTAAAGTAGTTGTAAAGGCTCAAGGTCTTTTCTTTTCCCTTAATGCATTCTATGCGAAGGTAAAAAACCTCAAACCGCAATGTGCACCAACAAACCCCCCCCCCCCCCCCTTCCTCATTGGATGAGATGGTAGCGGGAGCCACTGGCTCCCAAAAACAGCCAGTGAGCCAATAAGAGGGAGCAAGGCCAAGTCACAGCTGTGTGAAAGGGCACATGGAGCAGCAGCTTGGAAACACCTGCTTGGGTGCCCCCAAAGCAAGCTGTCAGGAGCATTGGCAGGAGACCAGAGAAGAGGATCTGTGCTGCTCTGTGAAAAACCACTACACAGAGCAGGCAAGTTCAACTTTTTAAATCTAAACATTCAGTATCACTTTAAGTCTTCTCTCCATATTAGTCAAGCATTTTCTGTCAAAACGCTGCTGTTCGACACTGGCAGTGTTTTTTTTTCCTGCCTCAACTCTTCTAGAAGTTTAAGTGTGTTGACACTAACATGCAAGGGAGTTTAGAGGTAGAAAGGGGCGAAAAAAAAAAAAAAAAAAAGCCCCATAACTGAAAACAAGTGTGCATGAGGCCTACTTAGAGCCCAAACTCAATCCAGCGCTGTGCACAAGAGCAGCAGCTCTCTCCTGCATAAGCTCTGACAGGAGTCACTGAGGCTGAGCCATGCTCAGTCTATGGGCACACAGCTGGCTTGGGAGCAAGCCCACACAAGATCAGCTGCTCTGTGCAATGGTTTTGCAAGCAAGAACATGTTGGCAATTTAACATGGGTTTACAAATCACTTTAAATAGATCTATTCTGGTTTAGACAGCTATTCGATAGATCAGAAATTGGTAAGATTTTGCCATTGCCAATCAACTTTCCAAAGCTGAAATTGATCAGTTAAATATTATGTATCCAAGTTTCAGTTACCAGGAAGGGGGGGGGAGGGGAAACAAAAAAACACCCACACAGCCCCTCACCAAACAGGGCTCAAAAAGGCATACACCAGGAGGTCCCCAGACTCAAGAAAATAAGCAGCAAGAACTCATTCACTGCCCACGCCAATTACTCAGAATGAGGGAAAAACACCTGAAGGGGAAAATTAAACCCCAAAGGGGTACAGCAGAAAATAGCTATCTAGAATGTATATGTCCAGTCCCAAAAGGACAAAAAAAAAATGCCCTGGAAGCCTGTGTATAAAACCAAGGGGAGATGGATATCCATTTGTTCCTCCAGAGCCATCTATGTACTGCAAAGAGTAAAAATACTCAGCACAAGCAATTCAGATCAAGCTCTGGGTGTTAGGTCATCAGCACACACTGACCCCCACACCAAGACTACTAACTGGTGTGAAGCCGTGGGATCAGACCAGTCAAGACACGGCTCCCACTCAGGAATCCACCGAGATGAATGCCAGCATGAGGTTTCTCCACGATGGCTGCTGGCACAAGTCCCTACCAAGATAGCTGCCCCTGTAATACAACACCAAGGTGGCCACCAGCTCAAGCTGCTTCAAAATGGCAGCCAGAACAGCAGCAGTCACCTACTGCCACTTGCCACCCCCAGCACCCTGCAGAGAACTGCAAACACATGCACCTGCTGAAGGTCCTGAACGTGAAACCCAGCCATGACACCTGCAGAGTGGTTCCAGGGAAGCCACCAATATAGAAGCTAGAAGGATTTTTATAATGAGGCATTATATACTACAAGGCCACCCCATCTTTAGCATGTGCATGCAGAAAATGGAGCCACAGGGCTAAACATATGTGGCCGTGAGTAGCCATAAAGGAAGACTCCCAACCCCAGGGACCACTAGGAAATTGGCAGGTCTCTCCCAGCCAGAGGCAGGGAGCCACCTGCTTGTATGGAGACACCCACCGGCTGGCTTGGTAAACATGTCTCTCCCTGAAGGAGTACCTAGTGCTAAGCAGCACGTGAATACAAAAAAAAAAAAAAAAAAAAAAAAAGAAGGGGGGGGGGGGGGGGGAAGCGCAGCAATATAGCCAACATGGTACCGTGATGGGTTGCCACCTGTGCAAGAAGTCTACTGGTGAAATACCTTGCTAATAAATATTCCACATTCAACTGTTGGTATAACAAAGTGGAAGCAACTGGGAACAGCAACTCAGCCACAAAGTGGTAGGCCAAGTAAAATGACAGAGGGTCAGTGCATTCTGAAGCGCACAGCACGCAGAAGTTGCCAACTATCCAGACACAATAGCTGAAGACGTCCAAACTTTGTGTAGCCTTCAGATTAGCACAACTGTGTAGAGCTTCATGGAATGGGTTTCCATGGCCGAGCAGCTGCATCCAAGCCCTACATCACCAAGTGAAAGTCAAAGAATCAGATGCAGTAGTGTAAAAGCATACCACCACTGGACTCTAGAACAGTGGAGATGTGTTCTCTGGAGTGATTAATCACCTCTGGCAATCCGATGCAGGTGTCTAGGTTTGGCGGTTGCCAGGTGACTGGTACTTTCCCAATTCCATTGTGCCCAGTGTAAAGTTTTTTTTGGGGGAGGAGAAGCTTATGGTGTGGGGTTGTTTTTCACGGGTTGGGCTTGGCCCCTTCGCTCCAGTGAAGGGAGCTCTTAAAAACGTTAACAAAAGAAATGGCTGAGAGTTTGGGGTGGAGGAACTTGACTGGCCTGCACAGAATCCTGACCTCAAACCGACAGAACACCTTTGGGATAAATTAGAACAGACGCGAGCCAGGCCTTCTATTCCAACATCAGTGCCCGACTTCACAAAATGCACTTCTGGAAGAATGGTCAAACATCCCCATAGACATTCCTAAACCTTGTGGATAGCCTTCCCAGAAGAGTTGAAGCTGCTATAGCTGCAAAGGGTGGGCCAACTCAATATTGAACCCTGCGGTCTAAGGACTGGGATGCTATTAAAGTTCATGTGCATGTAAAGGCAAGTGTCCCAATACTTTTGGCAATATATAGTGCATACACATACAGGATTTATATAGCGCCAACAGTTTGCCCAGCGCTTTACAATATAATGGGAGACGATAAAGCAACAATACAAGGTTAGGAGGGCCCTGCTCCTTGAAGCTGACAGTCTAAGATTAATGGATAAATACCCGGGAAGCTTTATAAAAAAAAAAAAAAAAAAAAAAAAAAAAAAGTTGTTTTTGCTTACACATCCAAATGTACAAGACCGTTGGCAAACATTTTTTACCTCCAAACTGTCAGCAAGATTTAGACTATTTTGTGCATTAAGATTCAGACTGTATACATATTGCAGTTCAGTAGTGATCTCTGAACTCACCATCAAAGCTGCCTTTTTCGCTTGCCAACTCTATCAACTGGTTGTAAGTCTCAATTGATGGCCGATATACAAACACTCCAGAGTTTAAAGCAGTCAGGCCAGCCTGGGTCCGGTGCAGCAGACAGCTCTTCACGGTCAAACAAGTCATCAACATTTGTCAAAACCTGAAAAGATGGGATAAACACTTAAAGTACAACTAAAAGGCTCCTGTATAACAGTCTAAAGTATATTTAGTCAATATGTAATACACAAACAGTATTATAGAACTTACAGGTTATGCAGTTACCTTTAGGAGACTGGACACTAAGTGCAAGGCCATCTAGAAAGCCCAATATATACTCCTCTCACTCAGCAAGCCTTACATTTGTAGCAAGTAATAGAAAGGATTGGACTACAAGAACAGAGGGGTCAATTCATGTCCTATATGTACTCCCAAGAGAAAAAAAAAAAAAAAAAAAAAAGGGATTTTTCCAAGAAGAAAATTCTTAGTCTTGAATGCTGCCCTGTGTAGGGTATGATTAGGAAGAAACCACCTTGGTAAGGAAGGCAGCCAGCCTTAGGACTCAAGTAACCTGTGTAGTACAAGAAAGGGTTCTTTATAGGTGAAGGCTGCCAGCCAGACATTTTGTCAAACGGATGGCAAGGAGAATGGAAAACATTAGCATGGGCAAAAAGGGGGATATGCTTAATGGGCTCAAAGAGGGTCAACCTCCCCTATAAGAGGGTTTATAGGCAAGAGGCAATTGTGGAGACTTGACAAAATGGAGACTTGACTCCTGCTGGTAGGTATTCAAGACCAAAGTATTGATCCAGAGCAGAATGGAAAACCAAATATCCATCCCATGGAGTACTTCCTGGGATGGACTTTCCCGTCTACGCAGCAAATGAAATACACCTTGCTTTTACAAACTGTAGTTATACACTGTCCCTCAAGACCTGAGCTTTAACAGCCAGGCCATTAAAGTTAGCAACTAAGGGTGGCATACCGATAACTGATAGGGAATACAGATGTTCTGGGAAGGCCCAATGGGAGTCAACTAGGAGTCGGACAAGGTCAAAGTACCACATCATTCTTGTCCAATTTGATGTGATCAACAGAGTATCTTCCACCTTGATCTTGTGGGAGGCGAGGAAGGAGCTTTTTTTGAATCCAAAAACTTTATTGAAAGTACATGAGCAAATAACAGGGCAATGAACAATCCTTCAGAGGAATACATGTAGTGGCATACATCATACAGTTGTGTTCAAAATAATAGTGTTGAAAAAAGTGAATAAAGCTCAAAATCCTTCTAATAGCATTTATTTCCATACACAAATGCATTGGGAACACTACACCATATCAAAACATGAAGAAAAATACCAAACTTGTGTTCCTAAAAAAAAAAAAAAAAAAAAAAAAAAAAAAGTTTAAGTGAATATTAGACTGTTCAAATAGCAATGTTGGTATTCTTTGCAAACGCAAACATTCACTATATAAACTGAAAAATGTTTGAAGATTTTGCTTTCCTTAGAAACAGAGCTTATACAACTATATATATTAAGCGATTCAGAGAACTGCTGTACATCTGTTGCATGTAGTGAACCAACTTCTGGCACCTGTGAACACGTATTCCAGCCCAGGATGATTGGACTACATTCCACAGTTCTCTATTTCTTGGTTTTGCCTCAGAAACTGCATTTTTGATGTCACCCCACAAGTTTTCTATTGGATTAAGATCCGGGGATTGGGCTGGCCACTCCATAACATCAATCTTGTTGGTCTGTAACCAAGATGTTGCACGTTTACTGGTGTGTTTGGGGTCGTTGTCTTGTTGGAATACCCATTTCAAGGGCATTTCCTCTTCAGCATAAGGCAGCATGACCTCTTCAAGTATTCTGATGTATTCAAACTGATCCATGATCCTGGTTTGTGATAAATAGGCCCAACACCGTAGTATGAGAAACATCCCCATATCATGATGATTGCGCAACCATGCTTCACTGTCTTCACAGTGTACTGTGGCTTGAATTCAGTGTTTGGGAGTCGTCTGACAAACTGTCTCCGGCCACTAGACTCAAAGAACAATCTTACTTTCATCATTCCACAAAATGTTGCGCCATTTCTCTTTAGGCCAGTCAATGTGCTCTTTGGCAAATTGTAACCTCTTCAGCACATGTTTTTTTTTCAACAGTGGGACTTTGCGGGGCTTCTTGCAGATAGCTTGGCTTCACATAGGCATCTAATTGTAACAGTACTCACAGGTAACTTTAGACCTTCTTTGATCTTCCTGGAGCTGATTGTTGGCTGAGTCCTTGCCATTTTGGCGATTCTATCCATTCGAATGGTAGTTTTTCACTTTCTTCCAGGTTTTGGTTGCCATTTTAAAGCATTTGCGATCATTTTAGCTGAGCAGCCTATCATTTTCTGCACTTCATGTTTTTCCCTCTCCAATCAACTTTTTAATCAAGGTACACTGTTCATCTGAACAATGTCTGGAACGACCCACTTTCCTCAGAATTTCAGAGAGAAATGCATTGTAACCAGCATATACAACATTTGCTGCCTTCCTTCAATAAGGGCAATAATTGCCACCTGTTTTTCAAAGAATGAATGACCTCACTAATAGCACTCCACACTGCTATTTTGAACATGCCCCTTTCAATTAGTGATTCAATTACACAGAATCAGCAGCATGCATGTCATGACTGTTGGGTCTGTTGGATTTCTATTACTCTACTACACCTGCTAGTACATTTGCCATGTAGAAATATCATTTCTACCAAAAATCGTGATTGATCAGGTTAGTGATGTCTGACTGCTATTATTTTGAACACAACTGTATACAGATCAAAATCACAGTCAGAACATATGAGAGCCCATTGCTGTGGATAACCAATGTCGTAAATAGACATCTTGCAAAGGAAAAAAAAAAAAAAAAAAAATTGGCTTTTAAGACCCATAAAAAGTGGGGGAAAAAAAAACCCTACACAACCAAACAACTGCAGGCAAGTCCCCAAGCCTAATCTTAGCAAGGAGTTAGACATTATGTCTCATATTCGCAAAAGTCAATTCATTATCAATCTTGCATGCCAGTCCAGGCGTATCTATCCAGCTCTGCCAAATAAGCTCAAATTTACACAAAGCGTTACAGTGACTGGGCAAGTTGTTCCTGCAAAAAGGAGAGAATTAACATTCCACCCAATGTTTCTTCGTAGGCATCATACTAGACAGCCAATATCGATTAGTTTTCGTGCCAGATACAAGAGACGAGTAACCATGATATATGTACCCAGGGGATATAATTCAGGATCTAGCACTCCCAATAGACACTATTGGATCCAATGGAATGGGAGTCTGGGCGATGGAAGATACAATACACAGAACTTCCTCTCAATTTCTTGTTAGTTTTGGGCATCTCCAAATTATGTGGATAAAGTCTCCTATGTGCAGTACATTTAGGGCATAATGGCATATCTCTTCTACCCCATTCAAACAATTTAGCAGGTGTCTGGTACGCCCTGTGAAGGATAAAATAGTTGTGAGCCTATGTGAGGCCAATAAGGGAGGAGATGGGTACTGATTACAAAGCCATATCCCAGGTCTCCCTATTTAAACCTATATCCTCCACCCACTGGGCCCTGCATTTCAGATTTGCATGGTCCCGAGGAGAGTAATACCTCAAATACAAGATTAGAGCACTGTGTAAGGAGAGCCTGTAATACTTCAGTCAGTAACCAGGGTGTGGACCTAGTGAGAGAGAAAGTCTGCCTCTGAGCCTGTATTGCATGTCTAAAGCTGAAGATTTATAAAAGTGCTTATGGGGTAACGAAAACTCCTAACGCAACTGGTCATATGACCGAGTATCAGAAAACAATTGAGTAAGACAGACAATAGCCCTGCGTCTCTATTCTGAGAAGCCCTCTAGTTTAATTCTGGGTACCTAGGGTTATTCCAGATAGGGGTGAAGTCTATGAAGCCTGAGATGGCTAGCAATACTTTTAAGGCAGCCCACACTTTGAGGATAGCAGTGGGACAGGAGGAAGGGAGAGCCGGGAGGTCCATATCCAAATGAGAAACAGGCAGTAAATCAGGATTATGGACAGTGATCAGTCTGGCAAATTTGAGCCAGATTGTTCTGTCGGCCCCACCCAGTGAGCTGCTGGAATTTGGCAGCTAGAAAGTACCATTTAGCATGTGGAACAGCCAGTCCCCCCTTTTCTTCAGGGAGCTTTAGAGGGAAGGCAGAGATCAGACTGAACTCATGTGTCACATGCACAGAGGGAGGCCAGCTGTAAACAGAAGTCATAACCAGCTTCTCAGTCAAGAGGGTGGTGCCAGGGACCCAAAGACCAGCAAGAAACCAGGATGAGAGAAGACAAGCTAAATCCCTGGGCTGATAAGTGTTTATTAAAAAAGTCAGCTATAGTATATGAAGCTGCTTACCATTTAAAAAAAATAAAGACTCATTCCTCTTTAAAGCTGTAAAGCTTATTAGTAAATGGAGTCCTTGAACTATTAAGTGACTAAGCCTTGTGAGGCAATTTTGAAAGAATGTCAGGCAAAAGGAAGCTTCATCTTCACTTCCCAAAGTCATCCCTTACTAAGGTTATACATTGCAACGTCCCGTCAAGTTGCATGTAGAGGCAGCTGCAGGGGTTGGGCTATTCAGCTAGCAAAGATGTGGAATGGGAAGAAAAAAAAAAAAAAAAAAAAAAAAAAAAAAAAAAAAAAAGAGGGTACTATTTGGGAAGAAAGAAAGGGGGGGATGGGGGAGAAGAAAAAAAAAAAAAAAAAAAAAGGGAAGGGAAGAGCTTACCATTGTGTCTGCATCCATAAACACACATTTTGTATATTGCGTCAGTGTCCAACAATGAAGTTTTGTTAATGTGATGCCAAGTTCTGGTCGTTCCATTAAAGCTAGGTGTGCAGAGTCCTCACTGTCCAAGACATCCACCACTTGAACAACATCATAAACTTTGTTGAGCACATTTCTGCGGAAGAAAACCCAATTTAGCTTCCAAATTCCTGTATTTAGCAGCTTTATAACAGAGCAGCAATACTTACCTCATGGACTCTGAGACCTGAGGAGTTATAAGCACACATAGCTTTCTTGTAGTATGGTTTCTCCAGAGAGAAGATCCCAGTACAAGCGCACCTTTCACATAGGTATCATTTGTTGCCAAGGTGACAAAGGCTTGATCTAGAAAGAGAAGAGACTTAATAAGCAATTTGTCTAGCAGCCAACTATCTTAAACTCTGGAGTAGTAAAAACTACCTAAGTGTTTAGAATTTTCTACATGCAAGTCAGCAATTTAGGAGGAGAACAGGTGCACAACTGTAAAGTTCCATATTAAAAAAAAAAAAAAAAAAAAAAAAAAAAAAAAAAAAAAAAAAAAATTATGAAGCCTGGTACTGAAGCGTTAAGCCCTTTATCTGGGTCTTACTGCCGTTTGGCACCCTCTTTGAGGCATTTCCTTATTCCCTAAAGTGAAAAGAACCTCCCCAGAGGAAGCAGGCAAAAACTTAAAGGTTTTAGCCTTTTGCACACCATTGCATCCACACAGGGACGTCTCAGTAATTGTGATCAGTTCGTATAAAATACTTAAAAAAAATGGGACAGCAATAAAGACTTAACATTTAGTCCTTCCCCCACCTGATCAAAAATCCAGATTAACATCAAAGAAAGAAATCAACTGATGTTTTGCAGGAAAGCCCTTTTGCATCATTCTACTACAGTACAGTAATTTTGCAATGTAAGCTACGCAAGGATGAGCATTTGTGTGTGGGTGAGGCGACAGCATTCAAATCTTAACAGTGGTGCTGAAGCACAGTTCAGACATGTAACTGGAAAAGTCTGTTGTTCATACAAGGACAGCCCACATTCAACCTCTCATCCAGGCACACAACAGAAGCAACTGGGAGCCCGATTGCCATAATCCCATGCAGACACAACATCAAACTGTTACTGGTGATGCATTACCCTAGAATGATATTCAAGGTTTTATGGACCATATTTCTACAAACTTCTGATGCAGGCATTCCACCAAGCTACAAACATCCGATGGCTGCACATCCAGTAAAATCACCTGCATTTCTTATAGCATATTCCACAAATATGACAGGGGTACAGGACTCCAGCTAATGCGCTTCACGCTCCACTAGCATTTAGTCATAGCTATGACTAAGCACTTGAGTCCTATATCCCTGTCATATTTGTGGAATGCTATAAGAAAAAGAAATTTTACTGGATGTGCAGCCATCAGGTGTTTGCATATTGGAGTCTGCTGAGGATAGGGCCAGCACCTGGGATTAGTATGCATGGTAGAGGAAGGAACTGATGTTTTATTCCACCAAGCTAGCTTGGTATCTAATACATTGATCTCATGATGTACAGGAAGATGTTTTAATAGGCAAGATCCAAACATGCCAACCCACAATGTAGTTCATACAGCTAGGAACAATCATGCAATTAAGCACTGCCTGGGAACCGTGGACATGTTCTAACACATGTAGCTAAACAAACTTTCTATACCAGATAGGAGGTAACAAGCTCTGTATTGAAATAACCCTCATCCCAGTCACACTGGGTGCGACTTTGTATGCGATTTTCATGCCATGCGACTTGCAAATCATATGCCATGTCACACCCTATTGGTCGCAATTCAAATCAGTGCGGTTCTGACTTGGTCGGAGCTGCACCGATTTTCTAAAGTAGTAGATGCACTACTTTTCGTGTGATTTGCATAGACATCTGTGTCAGATGTCTTGCAAATCGCACCTGAAATCAGCATGTCCCCAGACTTTAAAATTGTGCAGCTTACAGTGAAGTCACACAATTTCAAAATCGGGCTTGATGTGACTGGGGTGTAAATGAGTGATCCAAAAACAAAGCACTTTGTTTACATTTACAGGAATATAATGTAGAATTGGTGCCCCAAACTTGGAGGGGATGAGTGAACCATTATCTGGCAGGAACTAAATTTCCCCTCTGGTGGAAAAAGGAAAGCACCATGCCACTTTAAAGTGACCAAAAGAACTGACCAGGCTACAGATACCAAGTAGTGACTGCAGGCATTCATAACAAAGCCTTTTAGCTTAATTACGCAAGTGCTCAGTGGCTTACAATCCCATCAAAACCTTGCTACAACTGTCTAGAGTAATACAGCTGCTCAATATCCTTGTGACAGTTATGTCACAATTGTGTGAAATTAGACAAATGCGAGTGTCAGGAGCTTATTGCTCAAACATAGCAACCCAAGTACCCAAAGACTAATATTCAGCAACATGGAAAGCTACCTGGAGAACACCATCACCTTTCTAGCATCAGATCACAAGATGTCCCTGCAATACTGTTACCCATTTATACCAACATGCTGGACTACTCAATTCACAATACTGCCAAGTGTATGAAATATACCAATTGCGTGTATAAAACCGAGTATGAAATGGTTAAGACCCTTGTCAGATTGGTTTCTGCTGTCTAAGCCCTGTAACTGATCAATCCTTACTTCCTGACCAAGAAACCAGAAAGGAGATTTCTATAAAAAAAGCAAGGAACATTGCCCTCCACAGTTATCAGAACAGGTGTCCCCCATTTTAAAGATACTCGCCTCGTTAGAAGTCGATATTTGTCTTATGACCACTGTCTCTGGTACAGAAAGATGTCCAATGAAATCCAAACCTTTAGAAAGTGTCGAGATGAGACAACTTAAACATGGGATGTGATCTCTCAAAAGTCAGCACTAGGGGGGGGGGGGGGGGGGGGGGGGGGGGGGGACGACAAAAAAACCCACACACACCCCCTTCTGTAGGCATCAATAAAACCTAATGGGTCCTTCAATGATTGATGAAGATAATGCCAGTTATACTGAACAGTGGTGAAACTACACGACTTCCAAGTTGTGGCTTCGCACTTGGGCATAAAGGCCAATCACCTGTGGCAGAAAATAACTAGGGTTGAGGTTTACAAAAGTACATTTTATTGCTGCTTCAGAATAGACTACTCCATGAAAAACCCAACATGCAAAAATGGGGAAACCCAAACTCTTGCGCAAAGTCCCATACATGGTTTATTTACTAAAACTGAAGTTTTAGAAGCAACTCTGCATAGTAACCAGCTTCCAGGTTTTTTATTTTGCCAAAGCTTAACTGAACAAGCTGAAGTTAGAGGTCAATTGGCTGCCATGCACAGCTGTACCAGAATTTGCAATCTCCAGTTTCAGTAAAACCCCCATAGTATTTCCTAGCCATGACTGTTGAGTTGCCCAAGGATTAAGTCACAGATCAGTTGCTTTATCTGCAGACAGTAATTTTGCAGCATTTTATATATGTAAAACAAGAGCTGCAAGAATTGCCCAGTCTTGTGCCCATTGAGGTCACTAGAAAATTAGACCATTTGAAATTGAGACAGGTGGTACATAAACAAATCACATCTATAGGTTACGATATTTATTCAAGATCTTATACATAAGTGACATTTATGTGAACTAATATGTGATCAAAAAATTCATGCTCAGTTTGACAAACTACGAGATTATTATACATGATTTATATATAGTGCCAACAGTTTGTGCAGAGCTGTACAATTACAATATATTTCAGTACAGAAGGAATAGGAGGGCCCTGCTCATGGAGCTTACAATCTAAAGGAAGGGAGAGTTAGTACAAAAGGCGATAGCTGTAAGCAATGTTCTGATGAGGGTGGCTCAAGTACAGTTCTTAGGTGGTGGGGTAGGCTTTCCTGAATAAGTGAGTTTTCAAAGATTGCCTAAAGGCAGACAGGGTGGGGGCTGACCTGACATACTGCGGTAGGGAGTTCTGGAGGCGAAGGGAGGAGGCGATTAGGGAGCTAAAGAGCAAGATGTCTTGCAAGGAGCGGAACGGGCGATTTGGGTGATATCTGCCGACGAGGTTGGTATTGTAGCTAGGGGCAGTGCTGGATGGCTTTGTATGCTGTGGTTAGCAGTTTGAATTTCATGCGTTGGGTTAGTGGAGGGGCAGCAGTCACTTATTGGTTGGCAAGATGTACGAGTCTAGCAGCATTCATAATAGATTGAAGGGGGGATAACCTGTGTAATGGTAGACCAGTGAGGGAGCTGCAGTAATCAAGGCAGGATAAAACCAAGGCATGGATAAGTTGTTGTGTCATTGGTCAGAAAGGGGCAGATTTTAGAAATGTTCTGGAGGTTGAGGCGGCAGGATTTAGGATTGGATGTGGGGCCCAAAGGAGAGGTCAAAGTCTAGGATTACACCGAGCACCCTGGCATGAGGGGAAGGACCAATGGTTGCAATGTTGAGCTTGAGTAGCTGTTGAGTAGTGTTGAGTGGGGGATCAGGGAGGAGGAAATATTACAAGCTTGGTTTTGGAAAGATCGAGTTTAAGGCACTGGTGTATTTTACAAGGGCATGAAAGACTGATGCCAAGTGTGCAGCCCATACATACACTTTCACTTTTCAAAGGCAGTAAAAAGTGAGATATTTTAACTTACCCACTGCGATGTGCCATTCTTTTCTGGTAATACTAAAGACTTGCAAAATTAGCACACTATTGCATACATAAGCTTTAGAGTAATACATGTTGTGGATTTGAGAAAGCTTCCTGACCGTGAACTACGCAGAGGCTGATTGGGGGGGGGGTACATGGGAGACTAGGAGATATTTTAGGAAACCAAGTGTAGAAACCCATTACAGAGCTTTATTTACGGCACAAAAATTTGCAAAAGACATTAGACACGAACAGGAAAGGAGAAAAAAAAAAAAAAAAAAAAAAAATCAAGTTACTTACGGTAACGTCTTTTCCAGGAGTCTCAGGCCAGCACTCTGAGAGACCTCAGCTCCTCCCCATCTGAGGAAACACCTCCACCTAAAAAAAAAAGCTCCACTCCCCTCTGACCTCAGTTCTCCAAGCATCCTCCGGTCACCTGGGGAGACACAATGCGAGACAACATAATCGTAATAAGCCATCTTCACATAACAAATATCAACAGTGGGTGGGAAACCGGTGCTGGCCTGAAAGACTCCTGGAAAAGACGTTACCGTAAGTGTAACTTGATTTTTCCCCTACCGTCTTTCAGGCCAGCACTCTGAGAGGATAAGCGAGTACTCACCCCCTCGGGCGGGCTAACTGCTTGCAAGACCTTACGACCAAAGTCCTGCTCCTGCACAGAGACCAGGTCCAGTCTGTAATGCTTGGCAAATGTGTCATAGTTGGACCATG